CTTGTTGTTGGATGGCACTATTGGTTGTGGTAATGAAGCTCTCCATCATCAACTCAAGGCTAGATTTTTGGGAAATTAGTTGTGTTGGTTGTTGGTTCATAGGTGTTCTTTGTTGGAAACTGGGTGGTGAGTTGTAGTTGTTGGATAGGGATGGTTGTGATGGTGGATTCTGTTGTCCTTGGGTGTTCTTATAAGAGAAGTTGGGATGTTGTTTCCAACCTTCGTTGTAAGAATTGGAGTAGGGATCAAAAGGTTGTTTGGGGTTCGAAGAGTAGAAAGCATTGGCTTGTTCAATAGACATCTCACTCATATTCTGCGGGCAATCCGGTGCGATGTGGCCCTGCACATTGCACATTTGACAAACCTCCAGTGGGCTAGTAGAAGTTCCAGATTGGAACTTATCAAACCTGCTTGTTAGTGCCTGCACAGAACTGGCTAACATAGTCAAAGCATCTACATCAAGCTTACCTCCTTTTTCACATTTTGACGACCTCCTGGATGATAATTATCATTGGCCGCCATCTTCTCAATCAGCTCCCTTGCCTCAGTTGGGTTCTTTGTCAAGAGAGAACCCCCTGATGCAGCATCAATGTAGATTCGGAACTCATGGGTTAGGCCATTATAGAAGGTTTGAATCAACAGCAACTCTGGGATACCGTGATGAGGGCATTGTCTCTATAACCTCTTGAACCTTCTCCAAGCCTCATAGAGAGACTCGTCATCTGACTGTCGGAAGGTGGATAGCTCGTTCCTCAACCTGGCAGTCTTCTCATGTCCCAAAAACTTCACTAAGAAGGCCTTCACTAGCTTTTCCCATGTATCGAACGAGCCAGTGCCTTCATCTCTCAACCACTCTTTCGCCCTATCCCGTAGTGAAAAAGGGAAAAGGCGAAGTCTGATAGCATCATCTGTAACACCATTCATTTTCATAGTATCACATTTCTCCAAGAAACTATCAATATGATTTACTGGGCAATCATGTGGTAGCCCTGTGAATGAATCATTGGAGACGAATTGGATGAATTGCGGCTTGAGCTCGAAGTGCTGAGCTGTTACAGGTGGTCTTATGATGCTAGAAAGGACTCCGGTAGTCGTATCAGGAATACCGTACCCCAAAAGGGATTTCGTTGGTTGGTCTACCATGTTTCTCCTACGTCGATTTCTTGTTCTCCTTCTTCTTGTAGTTGCCTCGATCTCAGAATCAAATGGTTGAAGATCTTCTGAAGCTGAGCGTCGTGTGGGCATGCACAAGAAAAACTAGAGAAAAAGTATCAAAAACACAAGAGAGAATAGCCGAAGCAACGAAATAAGCTTAGCAAAAACGAATCACAAATAATTAAATGAAAACCGTTAGTCCCCGGCAACGGTGCCAAAATTTGATAGGCGTGTCGCGTACCTAACAAAATATAACTTAACTAACCACTACTATGTAGACTGGCAAGCAAGGGTCGAATCCCAAGAGACTAAGGTTCAAAAGTAATTAAATAGACTCAAATTCCTACTAAGCAGAAATCAATAATAATCGAATAACTAAGGAACTAAAAAATGGAAAATTCGAAAATAAACTAAAGAATATAAAGAAATCAAGTAATTAAAACATCCAAGATCAAGTACCACCACAATTACGAATGATGCAATTATATTTCTACCCCTAACATACAATTCCAATTGAATGGGGAAAAGTAAACCCTAATCAATACCAAGGACCTCTCTCGAGTATCAATGGCTTCTCTGACATACAATCAAGCCTATTCTCATGGTATCATGCATATTAGAGACATTAAACGCATTACTCTAACTTCCCAATCATCAACCCAACTATTCTCATGTTGAAAATCAAACCCTAAATTGATCTACTCAAATCCGTTTAAATCCAACTCTCGCTGCGATAGAAACAATGGAATAATCACAACACCAAGATTACGTCTAACCTAGTATTGGCATAATCACAATCAATTTAGCATAGCAATTGCAAAAGTCATTAGAGAATTTAAAGTTTTAATTCATGCATCAATCATAATTGGGCTACCCTAGATCTTAGAATAGAAAATCTACTCACACATATTGAAAGAGACAATAACAATCATAAATATGGAAAACATAATTGAAAAGCAATTATAATTGAAAGAGAATGAAGAAGAAGTGAATACCAAGGATTCTTCAATTGAAAGGAATTAAATTGTTGAAGAACAATGCTCAAATCTTGTGCAAGGAATTAAAATTGCTTCAAAATGATAAACTAGAATTCTAGAGAGAGAAAGAGGAATAATGGAAAACTGAAAACTTAAAAACTATCTCTAATGAAAGTTACAAAGGGTATTTATACCCCTTAAGACCTAAAAAAAAGAAAAAAAAAATAAATCGGAGTTGCGCCATAACTGTGCCCGGTCTGCCCGGGCTGTGCCTGCCCGATCGGGCACTTAGGATTAAAGTTGCTAAAATTGCTTCCGCTGGAGTTTTTCTTCGCACGGTCCAACCGGGCAGGTTGAGCCTGATCGGGCGCGAGACCAAAATCATCCTGCTGCCTTCTCTTGAGCTTCGTAGCAATGTCAAGCTTCTTCTACCACGCGCCCGGTCTAACCGGGCATGGGTTGCCCGATCGGGCGCATGGCACTGCCATTAGCCTGACTTCCTCTATTGGCCCCGATCTGACCGGGCATTCCTAGCCCGGTCGGGCACAGCTATAAATGCTGCTTTTCTTCCTCTTTTCTCCTTAGTCTTGGTTCGTTGTTTAGCTTGCTTATACGTCCTCGTCCACTAACATCTCCAAATTGCTCTAAACATGTCTGAATTGTCCGGAAAACTCCAAATTCCTGTAAAACTTATAAAAATACACCGAACACACTAGAGAAGTGATTGTTAGCGGGAAACGGCTCGAAAGAGCCTAAAACCATGCAAAAACGTAATGAAAAGTTGGGAAGATATATGTATAAAACGTGTATATCAGCACTCAATATTTAATTTAATTAATCATATTAATCAAATTAAAATTGATAAAAACATGCCGTTAACAAAATGAAAACCATTCCGTTACTAAATTTTATTAATCATATTAATAAAACCTAAGTAATTCAACCAATTAATTAAAAAAAAATGGTCAAAACAAAATAAAATAATCTGGAATTAATTATTTTAATTCAATTATAGGTTAAATGTGGTATTGACTAAGAAATAAAAAAAAAAAAAGCTGCCACTTTGACCGGTACTGGGCTGAGAACCCAATCAGCCCGTCGTGGCCCAGACCCCGCACGCAGCATTGGCTTCACAGCCCCTGTCGCACCGCCCCACGCTACCCCACCCTTCACGGCCACCGCCTTTCCGTTCACCAGCCTCCGGCGAATCGGAAAAACACCTGGCCTAGTGTTTTCCGGCAGCAAACAACCACCAAATAGCCGCCACAATCTATCCCTCTTGCGAACATTTTTCGCCATTTTGTTTTGGGCAAATTCGAGCATCTAATGTCCGAATTTAGATCGAAAAACATGGGGAAAATGCTTAATTATCTCATAATTACATTTTAGGATAGATTAAACACAATTTCATGCACATAAATCGAATTGGGGCTTTTTCTAGGGTTCATGAAATTCGAATGAAATTGGGCATAAATCGTTCGAATTGCAACATAAAAACTCAATCAAATTGTGAATTCATGCAATTCATAACATTCATGGAGCGTAATTCGAGCCAATTAGCATGAACAATCAAATATTCGGGGCTAAGCAATTCGAATCTAGGGCATGCGAAGAACACGAATATAAAACGAACAATTGCATACTTATTTCGTGTAATTTCTTGAATGATTCGTGCATCCAAATACACATCAAATCAACAATTTTCTTTATTTATTTTTTTTAATACCACATAACAAAACTCCCCTAATTGAATCAAAATAATCAGAAAAACAATCATAATCATATTGAAATTAATATGGGGTTTTTAATTTTAATTTTAATAATACAAAACTTCCTCCCCTAACTGAAATTAAAATTAACAGTATTCGCATCAAATTAATCGAAATTAATTATGATCATATTATTATGCGCAAGAGGCAAACTGATACCACTGTAGAATTATAGATGCACTTAGCGGAATTTCAAGAAACAATTTCTTAGCACCTAAACAGGATCTCATGCATATAATAATACGAATCACATAAAATAGTTAGATATACCTTTGATGCGTGTACTCCTCGTTAGCCTTAGATTTCCCTCCTTCGGAGATCTAGAACCTCAATTGTGATTCCTCTACTTGGTCCACAAAACCCGTGATGAATCCCACGTATGCTAGTACGGAAGAAGGAGGAAAAAACTTTTCACTCTTCTCACTTTTAGGGATGCGGTTATATGAGAAATATTATACGTTATTTTTTTTCTGTGTAATTGTGTATCTCATACATAGTAATAGCCTCAATATATAGAAGTTATTAGGTTACAAGAGCAGAAAACCTAACTGATTAATGACTCCTCATATAACCGCCCACTTAACCTTTATTGGGCTTAGTGTGCTTTTCATCTCGTGCTTTTATGTGTGATCTTATAGGATCCGATTATAATTAGCAGCAAGCCCACTAAATAATAGGCCTGCAAATCGTAGTTGGTTTCTAGCAAAACATTACAATTTCTAAAATAATCGAATTAATAATCTCCTTAATTAATCCTATATTATATTTAGTAATTGTTATACTTGATCGAGGACACTCCTTCAATATTTCTTACAAAGCACACGAGAAAAGAACACAAAAGGTAAGCGACCCATGTGATAATAGAATTTAAATAATAAAAAAAGGTTTATCGTCCAAAATAATGAAAAGCGGAGCAACTAATCACGAAAGATTGATTAAAGTAATCAAATAGAGAATAAAATATGAAAAACAGAGGAGGTATCGTCATCACTTGCGTCACCTTTTGAAGATGGGAATTGTAAGCGAAACTGTGTGCTATGACTAAAAATTAAGTGCTGCATATTATATAATAAGACGATTATACTCCGTATCTCAATCATATATACAAAGAAGACTTTGCTTCATCACTTGATACTTGATAGCTGATATTTATCTTGGATACAAAACAGAAAACAGGGACGGCAACATCAGAAGAAGAATGGGAGAAGTGAAAGTATATAGGGCATGGGGTAGTCCCTTCAGTATGCGAGTGGAAGTGGCGCTGAAAATGAAGGGAGTCAAGTATGAATATGTCGAGGAAGATCTGCTGAACAAGAGCGATGAGCTTCTCCAGTACAATCCTATTCACAAGAAGATACCTGTCATGGTTGTTGATGGAAAGCCAATCGCCGAGTCGTTGGTGATCATGGAGTACATTGATGAAACTTGGAAGGGGGATCCCCACATCTTGCCTAGTCATCCTTATGACAGAGCTCGAGCTCGTTTTTGGTCTAAGTTTGTTGATGATAAGGTTAGTTTTACAATGTTCGTTCAGAGAAAACTATTATGCCGCAATGTTGAGTACTTGAGTTAAGTGCAACCGTAGTTGCAAAATTTGCAATTTGGGTACTTCAATTAAATTTCCATTAGTCTTTTATTTTTTTTTATGTATAATTAATAGGCAAATTTGCCAAAAAAAGCTTTTCAAAGGTCATTTTTGCGGGAAAAAACCTTCTAATTTTTTTTTTGTAACAACCTAAAAAAATTATTTGCGAGATGAAACCACACCCTATTTCTTCGGTGTTGACTTTATGTTTCTGGCATTATTGCACTCAAATTTCCAATAGTTTAACTCTTTTATTTTACCTCATTTCATTTCTAAGCTACAATTTTTTTCCAGCTATTGCCTCAATTGAAACCTGCCTTCATGAGCAATGATGGAGAACAAAGCACAAAGGCAATAAAAGAACTAGATGATCTTCTAACAATCCTCGAAAACGAGATCAAAGGAAAGAAGTTCTTCGGAGGAAACAACATTGGATTCGTGGACATTGTTGCGTCGGTTGTGGTTATTTGGATCCCATGCTGGCAAGCAGTCACAGGCAAAGAGGTGCTTACAAGGGAGAAGTTTCCATCGATATACAGTTGGGCTGATGAGCTATTAGAATGCAGTGTTATCAAACAAAACATGCCCGATCAAGAGAAATTGCAAGCATTCTATCGAGATCACTTTGCCCTTATGAATGCCAAGACTACCGATTAAAAAACATCTTGCTACTATAAGTTTGATCAACAACGTTAACACAGTGTTGCGACCAACACAGTTACTTTGATCTTAATTGACAAGATAGAGTGGCGACAAAAATTCCCTGCTTTCTCATTAATAACACAGGGTATACATAGCCTTGTGTTTTTTGGTGTGCTAGTTGTATACAATCACTATTACAAGTTTCCAGTTGTATGACATTACTATTAGAATGAAGATAAGTAAGTACATAAGATTATTATTGAAGGATGTAGTAGTGTGTGTGATATATGATGTAGAACAAGCACCGTTGTTTTTGTTATTTCGCTTGTCATGTCATGTGCTTTTTAACGTGGTCATGTGCCGCTATTCTATATAATCCTAGATTGATACTCTAGATATTTTGGTGGGTTGTGCCGCCATATAAATAGTAGTTTTTATTGTTGTTTTTCTCAAGAGACAAAACACAAAATATCTTAGAATGTAATGAAGAAAAGCATTAAATGAATGAATGAATGAACAGACATGGAAGAAATTATGTGCTGCTGCTAGTGTTGTGCATGTAATCTGAGACTTTGCTTGTGATTCTTTTCATGGTATCAGAGCCAGGTTACGAAAACTAAATCTTCTTTGCAAAGTTTCAATCTTTTTTTGCATTTTTGTTACTATTGTGCTGCTCTCTGTGTGTGTGTGTGTAGCAATAGGCCAGTAGCAAATGCAAATCATATTTTTTCTGTTAAATTTAACAGTCTTGCCAGTATTATGTAGCTGATATAAAGGTTCTATCTTTGCATTTTTCCTGGTTAGCTATAAAGTTTCAATCTTTTTTACTTGTTGTAGAGCTACAATCATTTAAAAATGGGTACAAAAATAGACATAAACAGTCCACTATACCTTCATCCATCTGAAGGAACTACTTTGAATATTGAGAAACTGGAAGGGTCTAGCAATTATAGATCTTGGAGAAGTTCTATGGAAATTGCCTTGGATTCAAAAAGAAAGCAAGGTTTCATCACAGGGGGAGAAAAGAAAGAAACCTCTGACTCTATTAAAGCTAAAGCATGGGAGACTTGCAACAACATGGTGATGGCTTGGATATTGGGCTCTACGTTTAAGTCTATTAAGAAGTCTGTGATGTTCATGCAAAGTGCAGAATCTATATGGAAGCAACTTGAGAGTAGATTTGCAGTCCCAAATGGCTCAAGAAAGTATCAGTTGTGTAAAGCAATGTTTGGAATTAAACAACAAGGAACGAAGGTGGCAGACTATTATACTGATTTGAAATGCTTGTGGGAAGAATATGACTCTTTAAAGGACTTGCCATTATTAACTAAGATGAATACAGAGATGACTGCCTTTGTTAAAGCTATGAGAAAAGAAGAAGACGACCAAAAGCTTTTTCAATTTATAAATGGTCTAAGTGAGCAATTTGGAACTTTGAGAAGTCACGTCTTAATGCTGACACCATTACCTTCTGTGGAGGCTGCTTGTGGGATGTTCCAGCGAGAAGAGTCTCAACAGGAGATCTTTACTCTTCCCAAGGAGGAACAAGATGCTTTTGCAATGTATGAAAGTAAAATTGAGATGAAATGCACAAATTGTGGCAAAATTGGGCATACAATTGAGAAATGTTGGGCATGCAAGGTATGTGGAAAATTAGGGCACACGTATTGCTGACAATTGTTGGCATGTAAAAGGATTTTGTAACAAGGAAAATAGAGCAAGTAAAGATACAAGAGCAAAAGGAAGAGATACTTCAAGAATCCGAGCTATTGGCGGTAGGTAAATGGCCCAAAAACAGTAGGTAGCAGCGTACCTACCACTATGCGGTAGGTATTCGTTGGTAGGTGTAGCGTAGGTCGATAATGTCAAATTTACCTACTGTACTACGGTAGGTAATTTAACCTACCACCTTTTTGCATGTTTACCTACCGCATACACGGTTGGTAATTTTACCTACTGCTTTCAACGACGCTTGGTACAATTACCTACCGCACACTAGCAGTAGTTAATTACCTACCGATTTTGTACCTACTGTAAGCAGTAGGTAATTTTACCTACCACTATTGTATTAGGTTATTTTTGTTGTCAGTAGGTAATTTACCTACCAACTTTGTAGTAGCTATGTTATTTTTGTTGGTAGGTATTTGTGTCCAAAATTTAAAACAATAATAATAATAGTTCTAATAATAATAATAATAATAATAATAATAATAATAATAATAATAATAATAATAATAATAATAATAATAATAATAATAATAAGGAGTACACGCATAAAAGGTATATCTAACTACTTTATGTGATTCGTATTATTATATGCATGAGATCCTGTTTAGGTGCTAAGAAATTATTTCTTGAAATTCCACTAAGTGCATCTATAATCCTAAAGTATCTACACGTGAAGGTGCTTATTTTATTTTGAAAAAACATTGTACAAAGATGACTTGGTTTCACTTGTCTTTTGATCCAGCAAGGCTGATGATGTAATTCACCCTTATTGTAAGGCTAACAAGCAGTTAGAGGTTTGGCACTCCTTGATTAGATGATGTATTAAGCTTTTGTGTAATATTTGAAGTGGTTATTATGGGGGGCAAGAAAGAAATTTGTCTATTAGGCTTCGAAATTATGTTTATTATGCTTCGTAATATTTTTTTGCGGAGGGCAATAATTATGGATTTATATTAACGCTTAGTATTTAATTAACAAAACTCATAAACCTGAAACAAGACACTTGTAATTAATTAATTTCCATAAAAATAATAAAAAAATAGAAAAAAAAACTTGTAATTAATTAAGAAAGAGCTCGTGAACACTGAACAGGATACAAAACACTTTTAATTGTCTATTAAAATTAATATTTGTATGTACTTATAAATAAATCGAATTACTATATATATATTTTTTAAATTAATTAAGCAAAATAAATTAAAGCGCATTATAAGTGTACAGTATTTATATAAAACAAAGAAATCCTTACACACAATTACATGTTTTATAAATAATCGTGAACAAATTTAAAAGTATTTGTAAAAAATTAGTTGTTTATAAAAAAAAGAATGACAAATTATTTTAAAAAAAGTGAAAAAAAAATTAAATTTACGTGAAAAATATAAAACAAATGATTACATGTTTTATTGCAAACTTTGGACCACAGATTTAACAATATTAAACTAAAAATTATGGGTAAATGATCCCTTAAAAACATATTTATCTTTATTATGGATAAATTATAAAACAAATTACTTTAAATTATTTTAAACCAAAATTTTGTAGTTTTAAAATAAAAAAATCGGCCCAAAAAAGGAAATAATATTCACTAAAAACAAAAACCATAAATAAAATATAAGTAAATAAAAAAAAAAACAAAAAAAAAAAACAGGAAAAGGTATACATTACAATGTGTTAGATAGCTTAAGCATCATTCCATGTAAAAGGGCGGCAATCCAACAATCCAACCCCAATTTCCTGCCATAAATAGTTTCATTTGGTTATAAAAAGCTGATGGGCCATTCTACCTATCCACCTTCACACTTAACCACTTTAAGACATACTAGGCCATGGATGATAACATCCACTTCCAAATTGAAGCCTCTTCTATTAAGCCTTTAAAATGAAAACGAAAACCCGATTACTTAAACACCTACACAAACTAGTTAAATACCAACAAGGTGCGAGTGCTGCCACTACCAATTATATCAACAGATGAGCTATAAAGGAAGCACACACCACCACATCCAATCGTTGGCGTTGCCGAGATGGGGTCCGGGCTAGTGGGAGTTATAAGGAGTGCAAAGCTAAGTCCGGGGGGGAATGTCGATGTAAAAATCGTTGATAGTGTAACTGTTGGTGGGTGGATTGCTGATGGAAGGCACCCTCCAAAATTAAATAGGGTTTGTCCTTGTTCCATCCCAGATTTGTCAGATTTGGCCCTTCTTCCATCCCCTCTTAAGATCATGGTACAAAGCCTTCTACTGAAGGAAGGAGGAAAGGAAGGGATTGGTGTTCAACCACAATTCCAAAGTCTATCATGTCCATTATTGACCCACCATCCGTACTACCAAATTGTAATGAAAGTTGCAGCCTTGTAAGCGGGGAACACAACATTTCAATGTACAGCTACTCTAACGACCTAAAGTTATTCAATACTAATTGTGGTGTTAAGTTATCGCAGGTTAGGCATGGATCAACCCCATTATCAGTTAACAAACTGGATGGTAGAAAGATAAATATGTCATTCACCGTCACGGGTGACTCTCATGCTGTTAGGGGGGCAAGTTATGTTGTATGGAATTACAGGCATATGGCTCGTAACTCTTTTATGCCAAACATATGTAAGCTTATTAAGATGAATATGCCAGATGCCATATTCCTCACGGAAACACGCGTGTCGGTACACATGGCCCGGTTATAAGCCGCCATCTGAATGCATATAGGGTCTGCGGCGAACCAACTGTCAGGGTTAATAGAGGAATTGTGATCATTACTTTCACAAAGGAAGTCAAGTTTGAAATGGAAGGAGATAATGAAATGAATTGCAACATTTGGATAGTCCATCATGAATTGTAACTTTTGGGAAGTCCATCAAGAATCGTAGCTTTAGGGAAGTCCATCCTTGCACTATAGTATTTAGGAAGTCCATGAAGAAGGCAGCCCAGCGCAGTAGTGTAACTTTTTGTAGTTGGGTTTGGCCCATTTGTAATATAATCCTTTTGTTCTTTATGTTTCCCTTTTTGTTGCTGGGTTAGGCCATATCTTCTAAAGCAAAATGTAACAACCAATGTTGGACAAGCTATTAGTGATGGGCAGGCATTACTTAATTAATTGGGCCAATCCAATGTTTTGGCCCTTTATAAAAATCTCTATAATCTTATTCTTGCAAGCGATTTATGGAATCTAAATAATTTCAATTATGACTAAATGACATGACTTACAAGGAATGGAAAATTAACAAAAAACGGCTAATCAGAATTGAAAATCCTAATTGGGAATATCCACTAACACTACATTAGTGCTTATTGGGAATATCCACTAACACTCTGATGCTTAATGCCGGCGGAGAACGGGGTTGTTGTTGGGAATCCTAATACTCCATCCTGACATGCTTGAAATGTATCGTAGTGCTCCATCTTCCACCATCCCATGCAATTCTTCCAGCTATACAAAAAGGATAAAATTTAGTATGCGTATGAAATGATGGGTAAAGATTATACCAGCTTTGACGAGTACAACAACTCAAAATGCACCAGCCTCCTAAGTGCTTTTCAACTAAAACAAGGCAGGCCCGATTAAAGTACAACAATTTCAGCTCGACTCAATGAAATGAACAAAGCAGAAGCAACAGTGGTTGATGTTTTCCTATTAAAAGCCGTGTTTTGCAAAGGAAACGACCACTATCGTTTTGGGCCATGTACAAATATGGTCACCTCACAAAGTGGTAATGGGGATACCACAGAGGGCTTCAAATGGTCCTGCGCAACAAAAAATAAAAATAAATAATAGTAGGGGTCAATCAAGCAGGACGCATGATAGACAAAAGTTGGAAACGTTATGGATACGCACCTAACTTGAACCATACTTCTTCCAGAATGGAATATCAGAAAGTCCTTCATTTGCGTCAGGGCATCCATCTTTGTTAGATGTACGAGCAAACAGAGTTTTGCACCTCCTCCTTGCCCTTCTCCTTTTCAGATTCCTAACCGAGCGACTACCACCAACATCCTCCATATACTACTTAATTAATAAAATACATCAGCTTGTAAACATCTCGCCCAATGCAAAGTCTAGTAAAAGAGAACAAGCTAGTTTCAAGCATAAGGCGCATTAGAGTTGTGTATTACCTCATTAGTGGCCACTGGTCCATCACTATCCCTGGCCAACAGAGGGTGTTGTTCACCATACGCCACATCTAACATCTACAACAACAGTATGTAAATTAGTTAGCACATAATTTGAGATCAACTACTTATTATCCACAACAGAATAACCGTACCCCTAAGTTTCCAAAATTTCCAGTTGCAATAATCCTGTCATCTTTTGCAGCATTTCTAATGTGGTTCATATTCCAAACCTTTATATGTGGGAAAACTCCCCATTCCACTGGATCCCTATTTAACCTGTCCAAATAAAAAATGTGTGTGTGGTACAACAAGTAAGTACCATAGCGTAATGTAGCATGATTGAAACAAAACACAAAAAAAAAAAAAAAATATAACATTTACCACTAAGAACATGGTGCAGCAACCACAACCCCTAGCATAGCCAAACGCATAAAACCTACGGGCAAAGCTTAAAATACTCTCCATCAATTTGCCCAATACAAGCCTACACCAATCATAATTGGCACAATTTGAAGCACAAGTTAGTGCTGGAACAAGATCACTAGCTAATCGCGAAGACTATGTGGGACATAGCACCATTTGCAAAGACACCAATAGGAATAAGGTCTTAAATTCTTCTTTATCGTTATCCTCCCAATAACCCTCCAACCTATCCAACAGAATACTGTTCATAGGAATTCCGATTGATGTATACGTATGCCCAACAAACTTGCTGGACTTACACTCCCAAGATTTTCCATACTTTCCCAAAATCTGGAATATCTTGAGTCTCATTTCAGGGTTCATTGATTTCTTGGTTGGCACAGGTAACCTTCTATAAGGAATGCCAAATATCCAATGCAGTAGGTTCTTTGAAAATTCGAACTGTTTTCCATTAGTACCTATCAATTTTTTACTTAAAGGATCAATGCAGCTTAGTATCCAATATCCAAGCTGCCTTGGAATTTGCAAATCAGATGGTAAATTTAGGAGGATGCCAAATCCCATCTTCTGAACCCACTTAGACGTTCTTTCATCAAAGGTCTGACAAATCCTAGCAAATGACTCAATCCGACACGTCAATTTAGGAGCCTGTCAAAATTACGGATTCAAAGATCAACAAAACATAGCCAATGAGAAACAATAACTTAACCAATCAACAATTATAAACCACTTACCCGAGAGCTTCTCCTCTCATGTTCCTTCAATACAAGGCGTTGAGCCTTCACTTTACCATCTAGACTGTTGCAGTTATCCTGTTACACAGAAATAAATAAGGTAACTCCTAGTAACACAGCAACATTAATATCCTAAGCCCCTCCCCCCCAAACCCCCCCCCCCCCGGCAATGTCTGTACCTTGAATATTTCTGGATGCAGTTGATGTTTCCTTAGACTACAGCCACGGTTTCCATCAACATCCAACGAAGATCAACAATTCAAAATTATCAAGTCATTCAACAGAAGATCATTTACCTACAACTTACCTACACAAGGATTAGAAGGGTTAGCTTGTTTATCACTGACCTTATCCAACTCACAGGGACTACGAAAATGCTTACCCTCCATAAAATTAATCTGCATAACACACCATAGTTCAAATTTAGCATTATAATAGCAATCTCCATAGTCAAATCAAAACAAATACACGAACAACTACGATGCTGGAGGACAAGGAATGCCAAAAGTATCATATAACTGTGAAGTCCGCGGGGTCAACCCCAGGCCATCATCAACACCACTAGCCGTCGGGATCGTGATCGTAGGACCAGTCCACTGAGTACCTCCGTGTGGCCCATACTGGAAACTCCCACTAGCAAAGTGAGTAGGCTCTGGCTGCTGCGACGACGAGCCAACCTCGTACGTCCCACCACCGGGCCGAGATGATGGACCAGCTCCAAAAGAACTCGGGGACTCGTGAGGAAAGAGCACTCGAGTACCATGACCAGGTGGCCTCACATCCCCTGGCGATGAGCTGCTCTCATCCTCAACCACTACCTGGTTGCACGCCTCCTCTCTACTAGGGATCTCCAAAGAATTATGCCGACGCCTCGATCCCTCTCGCTCCCTTGATCTCTCTAGCCTCGAACGAGTGCGTGGCTGAGGAGCAGGCTGAAATAAAAATAACAAAACAAGTTAGGCATATAAGAGAAAGAATGAACAAATAAAAGCAAATGCACAAAGACATACCGGCACAACGTCATCAGTACATCGACACAACGCTCGGCGACTCCATCTCACCAGCTGGTACCGGAAGGCGTCCATGGCAAGACAGAACTACAAAACAGACAAAATCAGTAAAACACAAAATATATACACCGAGCAAGCAAAAGAGTGAGAGCTCACCCAGGTCTGATGACGAGGAATAGACTAGGACGTTAATCGCCACTCCTCAGGGGCTAAAGGAACCGGCTCCTCAACAGGTCCATAGGTCCCCTAATAAGTGATGGACATCCGTGGAGGCACAAACTCCGCAAGCTCCTCTAACTCCTGCAAAAAGTAAAGCGATAAGACACCGTTGGGGGCTACCGAAAAAATAAAATAGATAGCCAATAACGACAAACCTCCTCCTCACGGTAGGGTGGTGGAGCTACCAAAGGAAGCAACACCTTCGCGTAAGGACGATCGGGATAACTATGTATCCGTCAGTCCTCACCAATCGCTCCAGTAGCAACATGGATCCGGAGTCGCTCCTAACTCATAATCTCACCAGGAACAACATGAAAAGTCGAGGAGTGCTGAATGGACATCCTCTCGCCTAAGTACCATACTATGTCGTAGGTACCCCAGAAAAAACAACTCTCAGCAGTGTATTGAGAAGCCAACCATGCAACATGGGAAGGTTGTAGCTTATGCATCGAGGCAGCTCAAGAAGCATGAACAGAATTACCCTACTCATGACCTGGAGTTGGGAGCTGTGGTATTTGCTCTTAAGATTTGGAGACATTACTTGCATGGTGTGAGATGTAAGGTGTATACGGACCATAAAATTCTGAAATACATATTCACACAGAGACAAAGGAGATGGCTTCAGGTTCTAACCGATTACAACCCAAAGATTCTATATCACGAAGGAAAGGCACACAAGGTAGCCGATGCTTTGATTAGGAAGACAAGTCATACAGTAAACTTGATGGTTTTAGCCAAGGAACTTTGTGAAGAATTTAGGAAGTTGAACTTGGAAGTGATGGAGTATGGCCTGGTGAACGCGCAATTGAATGCAATGTCGGTCAAACCTACCATATATGATGAGATTCGTGAGAAGAAAATGCTCGATGAGTGGTTGACCAAGGTGAGAAAGATGAAAGAAGAAGGAGCAACAACTGAGTTTGATGTTGATGATAGTGGAATAGTGAAATACAAAGGGAAATGGTGTATTCCTAAGAATGAAGATCTCAAAAGGAAGATCTTAGAAGAAGCTCACAACACCCCGTACTCTGTACACCCGGGAGGAGATAAGCTCTATAAAGATCTTAAGCAATATTTTTGATGGCCGAACATGAAGCATGAAGTAGCTGAGTTTGTGGCCAAGTGCCTGACATGTCAGAAAGTGAAGATACAACATATGAGACCTGGAGGGAAACTGCAATCGTTAGATGTGCCAGGATCGAAGAGGGAGTCTATATCTATGGATTTTGTGATGGGATTACCGCTTACAAGGGCAACAAAGAATGCTATTTGGGTCATAGTTGATCGTTTAACTAAGACAACAAGATTCATAGCAATAAAGGACACTTGGAATGTGAATCAGCTGGCAGACGCCTATGTGAAGGAAATTGTGAGACTACATGGAGTTGCTAAAGATATCATTTCAGACAGAGATCCCAGATTTTTATCAAAGTTCTGGGAAATGTTTCAGCAAGCATTTGGCACTATCTTGAAGTTTAGCACAGCGTTTCACCCTGCTACGGATGGACAAATAGAGAGAACAATTCAGACCCTAGAGGACATGTTGAGAGCTTGTGTGATGGACTTTGGTGGATCGTGGGACGAAAGATTACCTACGATCGAATTTTCATATAATAATAGTCATCATGCGAGCATAGGAATGACACCTTATGAAGCATTGTATGGGATAAAATGTAGAAGTCCCTTATGTTGGAGTGATATCAATGAGTCTTTGACTTTGGGGCCAGAAATGATTGAAGAAACAACGAAGCAAGTTAGGCTCATACAGGCAAACATGAAGGCAGCTTAGGATCGACAAAAGTCATATGCAGACCAAAATAGGAGAATAGTGGAACTTGAAGTCGGGGAAAAGGCTTTACTTAAGGTTTCACCTACCAAGGGAGTCATACGGTTTGGTAGGAAAGGGAAACTAAGTCTAGATATATTGGGCCATATGAAGTATTAAAGAGAGTTGGAGAGGTGGCATACCAACTAGCCTTACCCATGGAGTTAGCCAATGTTCACAATGTTTTTCATGTTTCACAACTCCGAAAGTATGTTCATAACCCTACCATGTTATCCAACCTGAGACTATTGAGCTAGATGAGACCTTAACCTTTGAAGAGAGCCCAGTGAAGATTCTTGATACCAAAACGAGAAATACTCGAAATATGGCAGTAAAAGTGTTGTGGTCTAATCAGAATTCTGAAGAAGCAACTTGGGAAGTCGAGTATGATATGAAAAAGCGCTACCCAGAACTTTTTGAACAGGTACTCTAACTTTCGAGGTCAAAACTTTTAAAGGGGGGTAGAATGTAATACTAACTTAGCTTTGTCATCGTGCGAGCCTAATTTTGAGTGCTAACTTTAAAGTTCGAGGACGAAATTCGTTTTAGGGGGAGTAGATGTAATACCTCAAATTTTTTTATTATATTTAATCAACGATTTTTCTAGTATACAGTTTAAATTTATAATTATTTTCAAATTTATAAAAAAAAATAAATAATAAATTTTTTTTTTTACTAATTGTTATTTTTATTTCCATTTTCGAATTTAAAAAAAAAATCTAAAGCTTTTGTACCCTCTGCGTGTATGGACAGGAATTTGAAAAAAAAAAAAAAAAAAAAAAAAAAAAAAAAAAAAAAAAAACTGATTTTGGGTAAAATTCAGGAACTGATTATTTGAAAGCTATTTGATCTAAAATTTGAATCTTTAATCTTATCATAGTTGGTTACTTGAATCTATCCCAAACCTTAATCTCACCCAAATCCCCACATTATAAGATTGCTCGCCGTGAGAAAGGGGGGAACAAAACAAAAAAAAAAACTACTCTTCTTCTTCCACCCTTCATCTCCATTGATTGATAGGTATGAGAGCTCAAATAACTCATAATCCCTTCTTTATTTAGATGTTTAACTAGTCAATTAAGCTTCAATTTTTCGGCTAGTAGTCTTTAATTAACACCTTTCATTGCTAAACCCGTAACTCCGTCGACGAACTCGACGTTTGGCACTCAAATTGAATCTTGCTCTTGTCTCCGTGTTAGACCACCATAGCTTCAGCCCTTACCGTCAATACCGTTGCCGTATATCCACACTCTTCTTTAATTCGTAGTACTTGCTACCATATCAACCATAGTAGTTGAGTGTAGTAATAAACCATGTTTCTTCTATTTCCATCCATCTTAGATGATTATCAAGGAAACCTATAATATACCACCTTCTTAATCCATTGTATACAAATGTGGATTGCAATTGTCGTTGTTGTCTTCTTCTGCAAATCAATGTCGCTTACTTTGTTTTTTTTTTTTTTTGTTTTTTTTTCTTTCTTTTCTCCTAATCTCAGGTCTTCTGGTAATGGTAGGATTCTAGTAAAGTGGTTTTTTTTATAAAGAAAAAAAAAAGATGATTTTTTTTGTTTTAATAGTTAAACAAATTCTTGTTTTAAGCCACTTACACCTATATTGCCTTCTATTGAAAAGTTTCGTAGTGGGCTTTGAGTTTGGGTATTATAAACAACTAATTAATGACTAACTATTTCAATTAGTAATGTCGTAAGACTAACTTAGACTCGTTTATCTGTTTATTGTAGACGAAGGCTACTAGGTGAGCGTTTTGGAGGTTATTTACCTTGAGATTTACGCGCAATTCAAGGTAATTTTCAATGTCCATCATCTTTAGAATCCCGTTAGTAAATTGTTTTAAATTATTCTGTGCCAACTATGTGCTTACATAATTATACGTGATGGATGTGTATCGTATGAGTTTTA